CTGCGAGCGGTAAACTTAGTGAGACAGCAAAACGAATACACGGGGTAATTTTATTGGCGGAAGATAAAATAAAAAAAAGTTATTGTTTCCTTTCGCCAAATTTATATACGAACCGACGTCAAATATGTATGTATATATATATATATATATAATTTTTAGATAAGTCTCTAGAAGAAAAAGCATTTTGAATTATTTTACTAGAGAAGGGAAAAAGTTTTAATGAAGCATTTCCATTGGTCAGAAATTAAAGTAAGCATTATTGAAAGCGCACACAAACTCACACACATAGAAACATATATATATATTTGTGTGTGTGTATTTGTGTGTGTGTGTGTGTCCCAATCTACTCTATCTATCTATCTATCTATCTATCTATCTATCTATCTATCTATCTATCTATCGATCAATCTATCTATCTATCTTCCATCTTGTTCTTTTTCTATCTATTTATCCATCTCGTTCTGTTTATATCTATCTATCAAACTCGTTTTCTTTATATCTATCTATCTATCTATCTATCTATCTATCTATCTATCTATGTATCTTGTTCTATTTATATCTATCTATCTATCTATCTATCTATCTATCTATCTATCTATGTGTGTGCCCCAGTCTACTTATATCTATCTATCTATCTATCTATCTATCTATCTATCTATCTATCTATCTTAAATCTTGTTCTTTTTCTATCTATTTATCCATCTCGTTCTGTTTATATCTATCTATCAAACTCGTTTTCTTTATATCTATCTATCTATCTATCTATCTATCTATCTATCTATCTATCTATCTCATTCTATTTATATCTATCTATCTATCTATCTATCTATCTATCTATCTATCTATCTATAATAGCTAATAAACCCTGATGAGTTGACGTACATGTGCGTCTATGAAACTCTGGAGTCGGAATGCTGAAGGAACATCAATTTAAATGGCACGCTGTGACAAACTTTTGCATATATTAATTCTATTCATTTGCTTATCACAATTTTTCTGTTTATCTTTGTTTTCAGTTTCTAACTTATCTATCTCTCTGTCTATCTATCTATCTAGATTTATTCATATCTCCTCTCTCTATATATTCATGTAATATAATATATTAGTTATATATATATATATATATATATATATATATATATATATATATATATATATATATATAAAACAATATATAATATAAAAGATCAAAACATGGTTATAATCGTAATCACGATACAATTTATCAGCTCTACAAATTAAAAAAAAAAATTTGTAAAATTTATAGGTCTGATTAATTGGATCGTGATTATCGTGATAATGTTAAAAATTATAACCATGGAATATTAGTGTTTGAACCTTTTATGTTATATTTTTACTGTGTCCTGGACATCGAGTTCTACCTGGATTCTATCCTCTTGGGAATTTATGTGTATACATATATATATATATATATATATTGACCACTAATATTATCTATCTATCTATCTATCTATCTATCTATCTATCTATCTCTCTCTCTCTATATATATATATAATAATGGACTCTACCGTCGGTTTCGACGTATGAGGATCTACCAGCTTATTGATTCAGTTATGAAAGTTTATGCGCTAATCTTAAGTGGCATTTAAAACCCGCTAGTGATTTACAAAGGAGGTCACATATGGTGCAAGTGTTATATATATATATATATATATATATATATATATATATATATATATATATATATAACAAATAAAACAAATAAGGATGTGATAAGAAAATATAATATATATAATTGAGTATTTTGTTGCTTTGAACCGCCCGAATATTGTGCGACAGCATTATGAAAAAATGAATGTCCACGAGCAGGCCTTTTAATATTTGAGAATAGTTTTATATGTAACCATAACAAAAATATTTGCACTATTTTCCAAACAATACATATTTTCATTCTTTCTCTCTCTCTCTCTCTCTCTCTCTCTCTATATATATATATATATATATATATATATATATATATATATATATACAGTCAACAACGAAATTATTCGTACACCCATCAATTTTAAATATTTTTATCTATTTCTCAGAATGTATGTATTGAACGTGTTACCATTCAAGAGTGAAAGAAAATCCTAGAAAATCCCAGAAAAAAAAACTTGTTCAAATCTAATGAAAAACTTTCAAAAAACGATTACAGAAAGTTATAATGATGAGAGGCCATGCTATTGACTTATTAATATTGTGAAAACTGTTTCAATATTTTTTATTTTTCCAACCTATAAAACGTGGCATCAAACGGGCGTAAAATTCTGAGAAATGGTTAAAATATTGATGGGTGTAAGAATAATTTCGTTATTTTTATATGTTTATATATATATATATATATATATATATATATATATATATATATATATATATTAAAACATATTAAAACGGATAGAGAGGCCCGCAAAAAGTGCTATATATCAGAGATTGAGCGTAAGTAAATATAAAATTAGTGAGTTGAACACGAAAAATGAACAGTCTGTTTCATGACCAAAGAAGATTGTATTCAAGTATGAAACAAAAACAGTACATTTAGACATTAAAATTGAATAGCGAAAAACAATATTTTTATCTTATATATATTAGTAATAAATATACATTTTTTTCCAGCAGTTGCTAATTGAAAACTCATTTTTTTACAGTTTGCACCCGACAATTGCATTGGGCATGAAACTCAGAATTGTTCTACCGGTAACAGGAAAAATGTCTATTCATTATTAATATATATTTTAGCCTTATTTTTTATAAATCATGTACTATTTTATTAGCAATGTCACTTAATGTGCAATATTTTATAATCATTTGTATATATATATATATATATATATATATATATATATATATATATATATATGCCTGAAATGTTATCTGAGGAACCAGGAAAAACCACCTTTCTGGGAAATAAAAATACACACACACACACACACACACACACACACACACACATATATATATATATATATATATATATATATATATATATGTGTGTGTGTGTGTGTATACACAAATAATACAGAGAACAGATCTAGTAAAAATCCACAGTTCTTATCAGTTACATTTTCTTAATACAAAGTAGAACAAAATATCATAATATTTTATTATAAGAGATTATAATGAAACAAATGTAAAATGTTTTTTATTAAAATCTATTATAGTAAAAATACTATATATATATATATACATCTTTGATACACCCACCGAATCTATACGGGCCCCGCCTGTATTATATCTCGATTTTTATAAGGTAGTATTCATATAAAATACAAATTTTATTGTAACCTAATTATGTACAATAACGGATCCTATGCAATGTAGGTGAACAATTCAAGTAGAAAAATTGAAAATAAGAACAATGTATCTAAATACAAAATTAGAGACATGTCATAATAGATCATTCCATCTTAAATAAAGAATGTCTTGCGTCAAATTTTAACATCAGCTTGAGATTCTTCTTGATAAAAAGTTGAATAATTTTCTTTTTAAACATTCAACATTATGGATTGAAAAATGGTGAATTTTATGTAGTTATTTTTTCTAGTCTTTACACGGATTTGGTAAAATAAAAAAATTAAAAAAGAGCCCAGAATGCCATCAAAATCCTCGAAAATTTTTCTTCCTTTAACAATCAGTTCTGTAATTTGTAACATATATAAATATAAGTAGAAAAAAAAGCAAATGTTTATAAGAGAACGAGGGTCACAAAGTACCTCCCGGGGCCCCCAATCAGGCTTAACCGGTGGGGCAGGGGGTTTCGAATATAGTACACACCGGCCCTGCGTATATCAAATATTTTATGCATATTGTTATTAGTTTATACGTATTTTATATATTTTAGACACGCTTTAATATACAGTCTCCTCTGGTGAAAGATGTGTGTTATTCCTGTTTGTGTAATGATAACGTATTATAATGTATTGAGTGTATCATTACAGTGAGTGATATAATAATATTTTACATTATTTACATTATTCGGACTATTGTCCTTATCTTTGTCGCTATAATTATTACAACGTTTCGGCCTTCTTCAGGTGGTTGGAAAGTCGAACTGAACCCTTTATTTCGCTCATTGGGGTAGACTGTTCTAGTTCCGCGTGCCATGTTTAATGGATGTCATTTATCAGTTATCTCCTGTCAATTTCCCTCTGAATTAACCAGGTATTGAACTCATACTCTTTGGGTCTTGTCACCGGATGTAACCAACGCCTTTATCCAATGTGCCATGCGATAAAGATGAGGACAGTATTCCGATTAATGTAAATAATCTACATAATATTTTCTCAGAAATATAGACAAATAATATTTTAGTACTTTAAGGATTGGGTGGATTCTTGTTTTTTATATTGTTCAAAAGTGATGGGAGACCTTATTATAACAAACTAGAAATCATTTCCATTAATTACGAACACGGCCAAAATGGACTGGCTGTGTCTGGAAATTGAAAATATATTTACTTTCAGCGACGTTCATACCATCTACAACTGCACGTAAACACCATAAAATACAGTAGTGTAAGAAAAATAATCCTTGAAAATGGCTAACACTTTAACTGAAAGCGCTTGGAATCAACAGACATTTGGAAATTTTTTACGTTTATTAAGACCAGAAAAGAAGACACATGTATCTATAGAAGTGAAACATGATATAAAGCTATGTTCCCAGTCTTGTTCAACAAAACATATATATATATATATATATATATATATAGTTGGATGGATTGATGTGAGTTTGTGACCCTGGGCTTCACGCTATTTGAGATCGTCAAACTGATTAATTTTTAAATTTCGGATTTATATATGGTTGCGTATATCAGTGTTTTTATGGAAGTAAGAGGAAGAATTGTCGTCGGAACGCCACTCATACTTACACAAACACACATACACGCACGTACACTCATTGACGTATGTGTGTGTGTGTGTGTGTGTGTGTGAGGGAGAGAGAATGTGTGTATTTCTACGGGTTCAATGGGCATATTTTTGGCCGAGCCCACGGG